AGTGACTGTTTGGGGTGGAATGGCGATGAATGGAAAGAGTGAATTGGTAATGAATGCTGAGAGAAATAGAGATTTGTGCGACATTGCCCGTCGGCACCGCGCCAATATCGTAAATGAGTATTTAAGGGACCACGATATTGAGAGAACGAATTAACCACCTTTGTCTCCGGATGTAAATCATATTGATCATGTGCGGAGCAGGATGAAGATGAAAGAGAGGAAAGTACGCATGGAAAATTTGGATGAATTGGTAAATGCTATTCAGGAAGAATGGGAAGCCATACCCCAGGAATTTCTAAGGAACTTGGTCGAGGGAATGCCCAGGAACGAATTATAACGGGTTAGGGGAGGGCCAAAGAATATTATTGTTATTGTTTGTTACATTTTTCTGTTGAATGTTGTAGTTTTGATAATGATTATATCCTCACATAAAATTTCCAAAAATGAACAAAAATATTTTTATTTAACTTTATTACCAAATAGGTAGATACTTATCAGTAATAAGTTATCACTAGTTCGCAATGTAACATTACCCTAACCACTCAAAAAAATTGCAGTAATTTCGCCCAAAAAATGAATCCCCAAATGGCATCGGCAATGGCATGTTATTGAGACATATAACAGTCGGGAATTGTTTTCAAATTTTGATTATTGGTGATTTTGGTTTTATCTGAAACTTAAATTTGACAACAGGATCACAATCAGGAGGTCAAAATTATTAAGAAAACATGCCACGACGTAAATATCGGTTCAGGTTTAGTTTTCGCAAATTTTCACCAAAATGTCATTTTGAAAAAGTTGACTTTGCTTAGGCCCCTCTGAAAATAATGGAAGTTTGTTGCTTGTTACACTGTTCAAAATTTCATGACCATTTTAACACCAAATTAACACAAAACATGGTCTATATCGATACAAACCAAAATGGTGTTAAATAAGGTTCGTTGGCCGGTGTAAATTCAAATACTAAAATGGTGTTAATTTAACTTTCACACAGTATTAAAATAAATTTTACTTGGTGTTAATTTAACTCCTTTTCAGTGTTAAATATTATGTGTTTGTGGACAAATTAAATCATACTACACAGAAAAAAGGAAAAAAAGGAAACAGTTCCTTGACGCATTACTAGTATATTACCAGTGGTATTATTCCAGAAAATGGAACCTTCAACTCGCTAGAGATAATGTTTTTAGTGCGTTGCACTAACTTAAAATACTTCAAGTATTGACAGCTGTTTCCACCTATTTAAGGTCTCTTTAGTATCGAACAACTTGTAGTGTCACACCAAAGCAAAGGATTACCTAAGTTTATATATTCTTCATGTAAGTCAACAGAGGCGAGATTTAAGAACGTCACGTGATCCACACCGCCTTTGCCGCGATCGGTACACATTTTCAACCATAATTCGTGGTGTTATATAAACACCGCTTGGTGTTGGATTTTGACACCATTTTAAGATTACTTTTTACACCACAGATATTTTAAACAGTGTAAGAATTATTCAAGAAACCATCTTTCACCATCTTATCTTCGTGTTCTTAAAAAGACGAGTGTATTAATAGGCAATTGCCTATTTGGTATACCAAATATATATATATATATATATATATATATATATATATATATATATATATGCATATGCTCAAATGCACTCTTTTGAAAAAAAAATCATATTTTCATAGATTCCAATTCGAAAAATTTGAGTAATTAAAAACGAGAAAATATATTTTTTTTACAAACGGGGCTCATATCTATAGCAGGAATTGCCAGAGCATGGGGCTAGCAGACATCACAGACCAAAATAAAATCGTTCAAGAAACAAAAAGGTTATTTCGTTATAAAAAAGGATGAATTGAGTGGTCCGAAGTTTAGATATAGCACATAAATTTAATAATTAAATTGAGTTACAAACATTGAATAACTAATTTGGCCGGATCCGGATCGACAGGAATCCGTCCGGATCCGACCGGATTGAAATTGGTAGAGGTGGGCTGTTCGATACGATACGTATCGATACAAGTAATATATATCGATATCGTTAGAATCGATATAAATTTATATATCGAATACATTGATCGATTATTTAGCTAATTATGAAAAGTCCTTATAATGCCATATATGAAAATTTGCTTTTGCGGTTGTATTGTATTTTTAATAACCTACCGTTGAAAAACGATTCTACTGAAATTTTTGAAGTTTGTTCGATCAAGGCTGGTTGGTATTGCAATATTGCAGCTGACTTTTAAGTGGCTATTACAAAACTAGTTTTGGCTTTGGTTTGGTACTTTTTCTATGGTTTGGTTGGTATTGCAACTGACGTTTAAGTTATTTAAAGTTTACATTGTAAACAATTGCAAAAAAAATTGCAAATTTTCATATACCTATATTTTTTTGTTACCTTCCTAATAATTAGAATCATTTAATAAAAGTTTTTATTTTTTCTTTAATTTTTTTTAAATCTAACCGTATCGTATCGAAATTGTATCGATATAAGCGATATTTTAAAAATTATATCGATATCGTATCGATACGGCTTCTAGAAATTGGTGCCTGATTGCAATCCCTAGGCAGTTTTTAAAAGGATAATTCATTTTAAAATAAAAACAGACGTAGATTGTTTATTGCATAGTTTTTCTAAATATAAGCTAATAGGTTTTCTCGCAAATATGGTACTGCCAAAAAAAGCTTCGCCGAGCTTTGCTTCGTAAATGTTACCACCTTAAATAGTTATTTATGTCATTGGTTAAGAAGTAAGGCTTTTTGTGCTAAGCTCAAAGTTTGAAGGCCGACGCGTAGCGGAGGCCTACAATTGAGCAAAGCACAAAAAGACACTTCTTGGCCGAATGGCATACAACATTTTATCTTCAAAGCACTTTATATAGGTCAATTTAATTCAACATAAAAGCGGCCTAACCTCACTTTTTTAGAATCTCATTTATTTATTAGCTAAAGATTACATTAAATGTACAATAATTATTATTCCTTTTAGAAGCAGTAATAGTTTGACAATACCTAGCTACATGATTTAAGTAGAAATGGATTTTTGTAAGAAAATGGTTTACTTACCCTTTTGCTATTACATTGAATTCAATTAATTGTTTAATAAATAGGTACCTATCTAATTTCAATTTGTTTGCATTTTTATTAAAAAAATAGTTAGTTTGGAATGTTTACGCTGTGTTTAACATTTAATTTCACTGAAAACTTAAAGCAAATTAAAACTTAAAGATAATTTAAATCGTAGAAAAAGAAAACACAACTGTAAAATCCACAGAAACGTCAAATTGCAATGTCCTAACCTCACTTTTTGTTTTATTATTCATATTTAATTTTACAATAATTTAATGAAAAATAATAAACATTAACAGTAAAACAAACAAATTAGTGCTTATTATAGGTAAATAAATTTAACCAGTTTAGTACGTTAATTTCTTAGAAAAGGATTTGTCAAAACAATACCCCTAGCGAGAAAAAATCGAACTAATTACTTGCCTCATAAAAATTTTTATCGGCCTAGGCCATAACAAGTTATTTCTTTATCGAATGTTGACAACAATAAAGTTTAAATTATAGACCGCGTGGAGATAAATATATTTATTGAGGAAACGTCCTCGGATGCCGTTGATGGGGGTGTATTTTAGAACCTGTTGAGCACCCAGTTTTACATCGAATGTTGGGTGATCCAGAATAATTTTACTACACAAAAATTATTTAACAAGTCCTAACATTGGTTTTTCTTTTAAATTAGCGTCTGTGGTGTCGTCATTGCTATTAACATCTTAATTGTCCAAACGATTGACGACAAAGCTTTGACAGTTGTTTTGTCTTTGTTCTTCGATTTTATTTTTTCCAAGACTTAGCTGTAAATCCCTTGATTAACATTTGGTTAAACGTATAGATAGAATGGATTAGTTTTTAATGGTATTCCAGCATCTTCTCTCATTTTTAAAGTAAGTTAACTGTTAACAGATCTTTTCAAAATAAAGTTGCTTTTTTAAAAAGTGTTTTTAATAAGTAAGTTATTTAATTATACATAACTTTTGTAAAAAAGACGATCGTCTGAAGAAGATCGTCTACTTTCAAACGAAATCGTTTAATTATTTAAACGATCGTCTTTAATCGTCTAAAATAATAGCCCACTCTAAAGACGATCGTTTAAAGTGATAAACGATACAAAAGGCGATCGTCTAAAATAATAGTCGAAAAAAGACGATCGTTTTAATTAAAAGTTTAAGTTATAACTTAACCGATGAGAAAATATTTTTATTTTGTCATAATTATTAATTAAATTAATTAAAAAAATAATTTTAAAGGCGATACCTACCTATTTCGATTAATAGACAATTCCAAATATTCCAAAGTATATTTGAAATTCTTTATTATAATAGAGAAGAATTTCAAATATATATTTCGTCTGTACAGCCGACCGCCTAACCTACGCAACCGATTGAATCGTTTGAAAGTCGATCGTTTGAAAGACGATCGTTTTAAAGACGATTGGACGAATTCGCGTCTAAAGACGATCGTCTTTAGACGATTTTTCCCCATGGGTACAAAGGGTTTGGGAAAAAATAAAGAAGAAAAAAGACCATTAAAAAACGCGGTGTCTACAGTCCCGATGCGGAATGTAAGTGTTACGATAAAACTAAAACAAACAAACAAACCAAACAACCAACCCAACCCAACACTTTTAAACAAAGGTATACCTGTTAAGCTTAAAGCCTCATTTGTAATAGGTTACAAAAATATTATGATAATAATGCAAATTAGTTATTGTATTAAATACAATTAAACTGCATTTTTAAAGAAAAAACAAATAATATATTTACCATATTTTATTATATAAATTTTTTTACCATTGGTAACAAAAATTTAAAAAAATTAAAATATTAAATGTATTACACCATCGACATAATCTTACTTAATATTTAAATAGTGTGTATTTTATACACAATATAATTTAGGTACCATGTTATGCATAAATATAAAAAACCTCAATCACTCCAATAATAAATTAATAATTATTATAAGTACTTATGTATTTTATGGTTTAAAAACAAGATTAAGCTTTTGATTTTCTTGGATGTAATTTAATTCTAAAACCATCTGTCCTCTTTAAAATAATATCAGCCTGCAGTTGGAAATCTTGTTCTTTGATATCTGATGTTACATGGAAATTTCTCATGATTGTTGCAAGAAGAATTTTAAGTTTTAACATAGCGTATTTACGACCTTAAACAAAAAGAGTAGTATTAAGCATTTGATTTTATTTAATTTTATGTTTTTTACCAACACAACTTCTTGGACCAGCACTAAATGGTATAAACGAATAGTAATGTCTATTGGCGAAATTTTCCGGTAAGAAGTTATCAGGATTAAATTTTTCAGGGTTGGGGTAGATATCAGCATGTCTATGTACTTTGAAAGTACTAATTACTATTGTACAACCAGCTGGTACAGTCAAATTCTCCGAAACCAAGTTAATTTCCTGATTTGACTGTCTTGCAATAATTGGTACTGGTGGATACATTCTTAGAGTCTCCATCATACACCTTTCCAAGTATTTCATCTCCATTGTGTCGGCAAAGGTTACAGGTCTGTCGGAATCGCCAAAAATGGTGTCCAATTCCTCATGAACTTTATTTTGGATATTCTGGTGGACACCCATCATGCAAAGGAAGAAACTGCTTCCGGCGGCTGTAGTGTCGTGACCCTCGAACATAATGGTGTCGACTTGTTCCTTGATTTCTGTATCGCTGATCATTTCTCCGTTTTGAGAGGCTTCGATCATTAGGTCCAAGAATGCCATTCTTTTTTTTTCGCCTAAAATCCAAAATTTTCTTTAATATATTTAACTTACCTAACTTAAGTTTTATATTTTTGGGTTGTCCTTACCAATATCATTGTCATCAACATCCAAATCGTCTTTAAGTCCAGAAGATTGTCCGTACGACAAACCTTCTACAGTGGTTTTATTAACAGTCTCCTTCTCCTTAATCTTCAATTTTATTTCTTCCGGGACTTCAGCTGTAGACCCTCTGATGCCCATTTTTAAGTCAGCCTTTTTCTTTTTGATAACCTTTTTAGTCAAACTGTGGATGGTATGAATAAGTTTTTTTTGGTATCCAGCATATTGACTCAGATTGAAAATTAAGTCTGATCTAAGCCAAAACTTGGTATGACGTAAATGCAAAATGTCACACATCTTCATTACAGCCATGGCGTAGTCAAAGCAGCTTTGGTCTTGGGTCTTTTTGCTTACACCCATTGCGGTTTCTAAAAGATGAAAAGTAATTTATTTATGTTGCAAACGCTTATTTTCTTTCTCATTTTTTTAAAACTCTCTGAAAACTCGTAATGTGGGTATTTAGATATAATTTATTTAATCCAGGGGCATCCCGCATTCATTTTGTAAGAAGAAATATGACACGATATTTTTTCCAAAAAAAAACAATTAATTTCATTTTTTTTGTCTCGTTTTCCTTTCAAGAAAAAAAAAATCATTTACACTTTTGAAGCAAATGTAAAATAAAAATAAATACAACCTAGGCGATAATCAATTACTTTAGTAGTGAGTGTTGGCAATAATTAAATTATAATTAAAAAGCTTCAACACAAACATTTTTATTACGAAGATAATTTGAAAAATCATATCTCGGAAACGAAGCGTTTCAGACCGTAACTAAAATGCCCAAAAGCCACTGTTGCTAACTTCAGCCCGTGACTAAAACGAAATAAAGTCACAGCTTATCAATCGGGGAGTAAATAAAATTATTGTTAAATTTCTCCATAGACTATGAACTAGAACTTCAAAAAATAGAAGAGCAGTCCCTCGGATTTAAAATAAAAATGTGGTCCCTTAAAGAAATTATTTTAATACATTGGTTATGGAATAGCATATAATATTGCATAACGAGGGCAGGAACATGGGCGCCAGCATGAAAATAATAACCATCTGGAAAGTTTTCAGTTTTTTTTTCAAGGCCTGCTAAGTTTTGCATGTTTTTTCTTCAAAAAAATGGATAGCGCATTTTATTCAGATGTGCCTTAAATACCTTTATAAAAAGTTTGAGCTCAATACCTTACATAGAGTGTTTGTCACAGCATGGCGAATTTTAATTTTTTTTACTTTTCGACTGACCCTGTATTTATGTCTATTATGCTTACAAAAAAGATAAACTATTTGTTTCTATGGAAAATTATCATACGTCTAATTGACCAAGAAAATATTCTTTACCAATCGATTAACGTTTTTAAACTATAAATATGTAAAGTTATAGTTATTAAAACTTACCTAATAAAATTTCTACAGTTGCTTCAGACATGTAGTCATGACAATCAAATTCCCTTCCAATTTCTTTCTTTAACTTTTCGACAGTTTGTTTGCTATTAACATTAAAAAGATTGATGAAAGATTTCAGTACGTTCAAATGAAATGTTGGGGCAATAAGTTTTCTATGTGCCCTCCAAACATCTCCTGTGGAGATCAAAAGACCATTGCCCAACCAAGGTTTAAAGAAACGATATTCGGGGGCTTTATCGATGACAACATGGCTGCTTAAAATAATCTCAACATCTCTAGGGTCCGTTAAAAAGACTAACAGTTTAGGTCCAATCCAAATTTTCACCACTCGTCCATGTTTAAATGATTCAGCGTAAAGATAGTTAAATATTTCTGTAAATAAGCACGGGGTTAAAGAAGGTTAAATAAGTACATAAATAAATTCAGTTTCCCTAGTTTTAGTTATGTCAATAAAATACTCATAATAATATCATTACTGTAGGCCGCCAAATAAGGTAAACAATAAACTTTAAAACTAGAACAACTGCTTATTGTTGTATGTGCTTTATATTAAGGTAGGTATCAAAACAATTTGCCTAAGATGTTTTATTGTTAATGACAACTTGAATTCTTATGTAAAGTAAACACGTATTTTTATGATAAGAATCTGAACATAGCTGGCGTAATTTAAAATGTAGAAATAGGTCCCTACTTAAATTATTTTTAAAATTGCAACAATATTTTACTTTTGCTTTAAAAAATAAGAACTAATTTTCTAAATATGCACGAACTTTTTGACAAAAAATATTGTATTGCCAACACCTAAGGGTCAATCCACTTTATAGTTTATATTTTTATTAATAATTTGTACCTATTGATGTTTCTTTCCGTAAACATTCTATGAAAACCGTTTTTTTATTATTATGTATACTAGGGTGGCCCAAAAAAAAAGAATATTTTTTTCTCTTGTCTCTTGTGAAAATATGTTGGTTTGTCGTGTTTTAAGAGCCCTGTCAAAAGATCAGCTCCATTAAAAATTTTTTAGGGGTCGCTCAAGATTTTTAAAAATTTCCAAAATCGTCAAAAATTGGATTTTTTTTATTTTAATTTTTTTTCTCGTTCCAAAATTATTTTTTAATTTAAAAATAATAATGATTCTGAAAATTTAAAATCGATATTTTGATTTCTAAAGGTCGCTCAAGATTTTTTTAACTTTCAAAGTAAAATATTTTGAATGTTTTTGAGCGACCTCTGAATATAAACATCAACGAACTTTTAGCGACCTTTAGAAATCAAAATATTGATTTGAAATTTACAGAATTTTTATTATTTTCAACCAAAAAATTAATATCGAGACGAGAAAAAAAATTAAAATAAAACAAAAATTCAATTTTTGACGATTTTGAAAATTTTAATAAATCTTGAGCGACCCCTAAAATTTTTTTAATCGAGCTGATATTTTGACAGCGCTCTTACAGCATGATAAACTAACATATTTTTACAAGAGAAGAGTAAAAAAAAATATTCTTTTTTTTTGGGCCACCCTAGTGTATACTCTATGGGCATTTAAAAAAATTTTATTTGGGAGATTATTAAATTAATTAATATTATTGATATTTGTATAAATGTTAAATAATTTTCTAATAGGGATTAAAAATTATGCCATACTCGTTATGGTACATTTCTTGAGACTTTTTTAGTTTCTTTATATGGGGCAAAACACGCCAAGTGTTCTCATTAAAAACTTAAGTTGTTTCCGATTTTGATGAAACTTTGCTAAATCATTGTCCTATCGGACTAATTTAATTAAGCAAAAGGGCAGCGGAAAAGACTGACGGGTTGCAGATATACAGGGGCTTGAAATTTTTCTTTTTCTTTTGTGAGTCTTTTGGTTGATACAAAAAATATAAATGACTTTTTTTACATCAACTCCTATACCCTATATCTTTTTTTCGTGCTTTAAGATAGAGGTGGTTTCAAAAGCAAAACAATTTTTTTTGGCCAAGAAAAAATAATATAAAAATATTTTTACTTTTTTCTCAAAATGGGACTTTTTTATTTTTTTAAAATAAGTATTAAAAAAAGGCCTATTCTTTTCCCTAAATTTTGATATATATATATTTATATATATATATATATATATATATATATATATATATATATATATATTTAAATGGGATCTCGAAACCAGTTCGAAATTAAAAGCGTTAAAACGCACAGGGTTCGGGCATCGACTGGCTCTGTTCGATCCGCTAAGTCACGGCGTTCTCTAGAGAAGAGTATAGAGAACGCCGTGGCTAATTAAATACCATTTTTTTTTCAATCATTGGTACATCGGTAGTTTATTATTTAAGTGTTAATTAATGTAAATTATACACGAAAAATAAATACCTAATTAATACCTATTCCATTTTGAATATTTGCATGTCCTACCCAAAATAATACCTACCATAATTTAATAATTAAAATTTTAAAATGTATTTATAACTTAAAACAATTTAGTTATAACTTAAAACATTTAAACATAAACTATTTCACTTTTTTAGGATAAACAGAATATTCGGAAGCAAACTATATATTTTTTAGGTACAGTACTTCTTTTTTGGCCGGAACGAATGAATGGTATTTTTGTGACCCTGAAACTCCTTTTTCAGCACTAAATGGCTGTTTTAAAAATGTAGCTGCTCTAATATGCTAAAGTCTACAATTTAAGTAACCTTTTAAAATTTAAGTAAACTTGCCCTACCTAGTCAAATTAAAAATTAATAAAATTCACACATTAAATAAATAAATAAATAAATAAATTTTATCATAATTAAATAGGATTAAGTTACGTGAAGACGTGTTATGGTATGTAGTAATTATTAGTTAAAAAAATAAAATAAGTGTGAACAAGATTATTGTTAATGTATAAAATAATAAAATATAAAATTGTATAATTAATAAATTATCCCCATTTATGGTAAATACACAAAAAATTAATTTTAAAGTAAGAAAATGATAAACTTTTAAAGTTTAAGACACCGAACTATGTTTTTAAATAAAAAAAAATATGCACCTTTTCACCCAATATTTTATTTATTGGGCATCATAAGCCGATTTTGCAGACTTGCAGCAGGTGCAAGAAATAAACACCTTGGCAGAATAGGATTTTTGTTTGCCTGCCAACTTAGGTATTAAGTTATTATTAGGTATTAGGTTATTAATTAGGTGTTTATTTTTCGTGCACAATTTACATTTTTGGTTGAATGTAAGAATGAATTTTTACATTTTTAATGTTTACATTCAAATTCCGCCATTTGGAATAATGTATTTCCTTATTTCAATAAAGACGTTTATTATTATTATTATTATTATTATTATTAATTAACACTTAAATAACCGAAAAAAATCAAAATGGTCCCATTTTGAGAAAAAAGTAAAAGCATTTTTTATATCAATTTTTCTTAGCCAAAAAAATTTGTTTCGCTTTTTAAACCATCTCTATATTAAAGCCCGAAAAAAAGATATTGGATATATTATTTGATGATTTAAAATTATATATATTTATATAATTTTTTTATCATCCAAAAGTCTCTCACAAAAGAAAAATTTCAAGCCCATGTATATCTGCAACCCCTCAGTCTTTTTCGCTGCCCTTTTGCTTAATTAAAGTAGTCCGATAGGACAATGATTTAGCAAAGTTTCATCAAAATCGGAAACAACTTAAGTTTTTAGTGGGAACAATTGGCTTGTTTTTCCCCATATAAAATATATATATAATATAATAATAATAATAATAATATATTATATTATTAAGTAATCTTAAAATGACGCTGTTCCCATTTTGGTTACCTTAGTAATAAATGATAAAATAATAAAAAAACCTCCAGTCTAATTTAATATGGAAAATTAATCAAATCTGACTAAAGGTCAAAATTTATTAATAAACTTTTAATGAAATTTCATTTATTTTAAGTACTTAATAAGTGAATAATAATTCATATTTTGTAAATTAGGTAACCTATTTTGTATTGTTCTGTATGTTAATACTTGTAAATAACACATGTGAAATAACACTGCAGTGAAATCGTAAAGTAAAATCCAAATGACACAGTGAAATCCAAATGACACAGTGAAATCGTATAGTAAAATCCAATATAAAGGCCAAAATTTAATCGCTGTTTAATAATTCTAGTAATTTAAAAAATTAAAATAATTCCAGTAATAATTATTTTATTATTATTATATTTCAAATATTGAAAAATCAAGGATTTTGATTGCTTCATTTTAAAATGTGTAATGAGGAAAATTATTAACAATATTGTCATGTGGATAATATAGACCAGGCGGAGAAAGCTCATATTAGGTATAGCCGAGCATACGTTGGATGTGTGCGAGGCAATACTTTTACACTGCACGGAAAAAAATCCCTTACTAGGTTTAAGAATAGTTCTATACTTCATGTTAGGAACTTGATTTAAGTATATTTATTATTTCTATGAGATTAGCGTACATTTAAACTAAGTAATGGGATATAGGTACTTAATTTTTAAGAAAAACTGTTACTTAATTTGAGATGAGTATTCTTGGATTGAGTTTAAAGGTATTTTATTTTAAAGAAAATTGGTATACTTAAATCAAATATACAATAATGCTTAGATGAAAGAGATCTAGTTTTTTACTCAAAGCGGAATATTGCCACTTATTTTAAGTATTCTGTATATTTGTATGAAATTTCGGTATACTTTATTTAAATATATGTATATTTAATGCAAGAACGCTTATACTTCAATTTAAGTATAAGACCTCTAGAACAAAGAATACACTATACTGTATTTAAGTATAGCTATTATTAAAACAAATACCTAATTCTTCGCTTAAGTAAATACCGTCCACCCCCAGACCGCTTCGCTAAAAGAAAAGACGCAGTTTCTGTGTTCAGTTCTGTCCTGTGTTCTATGGTGGTAGCGTGTGTTCGTTTTTTCCTTTTTCGGTCTGGATGTTATTTTTAATAAAAAATAATGGAGAAGAAACTTAAAAATTGGGGCTTAGAATGTTTACTAGACACATTTTTGGGTAAGTAAATAATATTTCATTAATTTAAAGCAATTAACTAGGCATGATCGTAAAAATGTAGTGTAAAATGGATAGGTATACTGTAGTGTAAAATGGAGAGCATACGACAGGTAATAGACATAAACAGCAGAAAGGCTATAGCCTCCAATTCAGCTATATTATTTTTGTTTTAGAAAACGAGATAGATCTCGATATTACGGTAAACCTAAGCGAGGAGAATTTAAAGGAATTAATTCCAAAAATAGGATTGAGGATCAAGGTTAGATAAAAAATTGAAGAATTAACACCAAACCATCTACGATGATAATGGTAGCCTTCTTAGAGACTCATTTTAC